TTTTACTAGGACTACAGTACTGGGAGTTGCTTCATCAACTGCTTCGTTGGCTTTGATCCCAAAGTCCCAACCTTTAACCTGCTGTGAGCTTAGTCACCCCAATTCTCTCTCTCCAGCCACTGCCCTTTCTCAGTGCAAGTCATCCAAAATGAAATGGCAGCTTCTTCTCTGGACAGCAGAGGTGGGCTGGCCCCCTAGGCTTTTGCATCAGCTTTGCAAACAGAAAGATGAACTTCACGCATCACCTGCCACATGAAATCCTGATCAAAGCAAAGACTGCTAGAGGGGACCATTTTACTGAGACTAGAAATTCTTTCAGAAGCACAGTCACAAATGCCCTGGCATATGAAGAATTTATGTAGTTTTGTCTGAGTAGACAGCTAAGATTCAGCTGGAAGAGGAGCACTTTGTCTGGGCTAGGTAAAAGCCAGGGAAGAGCACATGGGTGAATTCTCCCTGTGCCTGAAGATTTCAAAGTCCAGAACAGATCATTGCATGGTATTATGGCTAAAAAAAACCCCATGCAGTTCCCTGCCTCTTGACCAGAATATCTGCATCATGTGGAACTGAAGTGTGCAAGCTTTTCCCCCTCTGAACAGCACCTTATTCTGCTTATTTGGTGATGTTACTGGATGGGTCACAGAACATTTGGTTAATTATGACACGGCAATACATTAGCTGAAAAAAAACCCGAAGGAATTCTGTATCTGAATACTAAAGTACAACTGAACATGCCTGATGAATTTCTGGTCATTCCAGAGCATCACCCACTCAGTCAGTCACAAAAAAAAAGGGACTGATCTTTGTTACTGCATTTCTTACTATACTGGCTGAACAACTCACAGGCTTTGGGACACAAGGTGGTGCAGGAAAAGAGAAGTTCAGGATGTACAGAGGACATTGGATTTACAGGTCATTTCTTAAAAGCAGGAGTGAATGCAGACAGACACCACTTGCAAAGCAAGGTGCAGAAAGCAGAAGAAAGAAGAAGAAAGCACTAGGTTTTCAGTGATGAAACAGCCTCTTCTCTTCCACAATACCACCTACTTATTGTACGCCATAGTGAGAAAGAAGCTGAAGCACAAACAGGACAGGAAACCTCTACAACACTGGCAAAGCCTAGTTCAGACTACTGCATTCAGATATTTTGAATGCAACTTCATCCACAGTCTCAAGTTCAGTTTTCTAATTTGGTTTATTCACACCACGAGGCAGAAACTGTCATCACATGTTTATAAAGTAGCCAGTGGTCCCAGGAATCCAGACGTACTTAGGACACTGGATATAACTAAGTTTAAAAACAAGAAAGAATCTACCAACACAACTGTTCTCCAAGATGATCCACAGATCAGGCCAAATCCAATCCTGCATATGCAGATATTAATTATATATATTACACATCTCAACACAACAGCAGTTGTAGTCACGAAACCAAGTGCTGGATTTGATCCACTGTAATGTTTGTTTAATGCATTGAATCCTCTGCCCTCAGCATTTCAGGCTGAGGGGAGACCTTGTCACCCCCTACAACCACCTGCAGGAAGGTTGTAGTAAGGTGGGGGTCAGTCTCTTCTCCCAAGTAGTAAGTGATAGGACAAGACAAAACAGCCTCAAGTTGTGCTGGGAAGCTTTAGGTTGGACATTAGGAAAAGTTTCTTCACCAAAAGGGTTGTCAAGCATTGGAACAGGCTGCCCAGGGAGGTGGTGGAATCCCCATCCCTGGAGGGATTTAAAATCTGGCAGTGCTGCATTAATGGCTGGACTCAATCTTAAAGGTCTTTTCCAAGTAAAACCATTATATGATTTCCTAGATGGCCATGAAAGCTCACAAGTTAAATCTCTACTGTGGTTCTCTATCATGGCTCATTTCTGGGCAATTTGAACCCCCTTTTTTAGTTCTGGAGTGTCCATCAAGAGGTGGGAAAGAGCTTCTGCACAGACAGACAAGGCACAGGACATGAGAAATATGTGCAGGACCAAGTTAAATAAATTACCCCAACATGAGATGCAGCAGTTTCAAAAGGGCCATATTTCCACAGAAAACCCAAGATATAAAAAGAAAGAAAATTTCCTTAAACCCCCCCTAACCTCACTGTTGTTTTGAGTGTTCCATTTGTTCAAACACACCCCATCCAGCTCTCAATTAACTGCTCTCTCACTCCAAATGCAGCAGGTCTGCTGTGCAGAGAAATGTAATTATTTACACAGCACTCTATCATTGTCACCACTGTCTGTACTTCTAAAGCACCCTGATTACTCTACTGATGAGCACCATGGAAATGCCTATAAATAAAATAATCAGCTCCCCTCATTAAGTTACAACTCATGGACTGAGGATGATTTTCCTTTGTACGTTCCTTTTGTAAATTTTATCATCTCACAACAGAGGGAGGAACGTGCCTCTGATGACACTCAAAGAGACAGACTGTCAGGATTCCTGTCAGGATTTCAGCTTGGAGCAGCTTGCATTTCTGCATGAATATTTCCTCCTGAAAATAAAGTGCTGTTTGTCAGAATTATGCATTCAAGAATCTCTTTCTAATGTCAAACATGCAAAAATCTCCAGTCCCGTGTCAGAGGGTCAGAGCATTATGTCATGGAAACCCAACAGCAAACACTGCACCCACAGCAGAAGCTTCTAACTCTGGGTTCAACACTAAGAATACACACAGGTGGAAAATTTCATGTTAACTTGGATTCAGCAGTAATTGATGACAAACAAAATGTTCCATTATTATCAAACCACAAAACTCTCACTCTTTTCACTAAGTGCAATCCTGTGGGTCCATTTGCATCCAGTGAAGTTCCTCGTGGTGTTGAACACACAATGAAATATCACACTGAATATGAATGATAAAGTGGTCTTGGTGAATTACAAAGCCAGAAAAACAAGTTAAATGTGATACCTTTACTCAGACTTTAGTGAAATCACATTTCTGCAACAAAAACAGCTGGTAAAGTTGTCAGGTTGCCCCACTTTTAACCATGCTGAATTAAGGCACCAGTCACTGTACAGCTCTAACAGCCTGACACAAGGAAAACAAGGTTGCCTTTTATTTTTGATTCCAGAAGAGTCAGGCATGGTGCAGTGTCTGCTATTGACAGGAGTTTGCAGTAGGAACTGCTAAATTACATCCATCTCTGTGCCCCTGGCTCAGCTATAGCCCCATGCCAGGCAGCCACCCCAGCAGAACTACTCCAGGCAACCTGTGACTTGTGAGCAAGGAGCATTTCCCAAACCTCACTCCAGGATTAACACAGTTTCACAGGCTGGTCCAGTCACCAGCACAAGCTCAGTTCAGCTTGTGGGCTGGTTTGGTCTTGGCCCCCAGCCAGAGGTAGGTGGAAAACACCATTTACTCCTGTAAGAAGCTAAGAGGTGGAGAAGAGAACAGTCTGATGGAAGCTCATGGGGCATCTCTGCTTCTGCACACCCTCCAAACCAACATCTCACCTCCAGAAGGCTGGCTGTTCTCAAAGAACTGAGGCAATTTACAGGTTCACATTAAGATCCTCATTCACAACTGTGAGAGCAGCAGGACTCTGTGTCAGCACAGGTAGGCAGCTGCTTCCAGGCCAGATCCATCTATTAAACACTTTGTAAAGCTGCTGTGGTTCCAAACACATGGTCCTCTGCCCACATATGATTTCCTCAGTCAGAATGGGTAATTTGACTTTCTCCTTCCACTCCCCTCAGCCCCTTCTAAGGTTTCCAGTATATCACTCCCTGTATCACTGCTTACTTACAGCATGCTGCTATCTCTCTGGACAGTCTGGATGGAAAGTCACCCACTCACATACAAACTATACATCTCACCAAGAAAAAGTGCTGGGTTGAGACAATTGGGAAGAAAAACTTTGACAAGTAGATGAGATTTTTGTGTATCTGAAGCTAGAAGCAGCCACTAACTGATGTGCAGGATAGAGAGAATATCAGGCAGGTCAGAGTGACATGCTCCTTCCAGCTCCCAGCCACTGCACCTGGACTCTGCAGGACACTTCAGGAGCCTGTATTTGGGGCTGGAAGGATGAACATTGTCATATGAAAAGTCTGTGTGTTAATTGAATGCATTGCCTGGTGTTGGCATGGTATTTCAAGAACCAGTAATGGAATAATTTTCTCCAGAGATAGGAAGGAGAGTTAATTTAAAGCAATAGCATCAACCCCTAGAATAGCCACTGTCCAACCCCCACACAATAGCTGTGCCTCTCTCCAGAATTTGGAGCAAGAAAAACAGTGACAAAAATAAGACCATTCATCAGTTACAGAAGATGCAGAACTGTTAAATCAAGCTCAGAACTGTCCTTGAAGAATTTAGCTCTTCCCAGTCCCCCAAATTATCCCCTACATTCCTTTAAGGGCTTTCATAGATACAGCAATATGAAATGGCTTATTGCTGTGTAGCTGCTAACAAGAGACAGATGTTCCCTTCAGCTCCAGGAAAATGTAGACATGAAGCACATTATGATGACCCACTAAATATTTCAGACCCAAATCCCATTCTGCATGTTATCTCTTCATGCATTTAGTCAAGAAAACGCACCACAGTTCCATGCTTTTCCTGCTAATTACTGAGCTAGCCAGAAAAGCATGCTTGGGTCAGCTAATTTATCTTTGCAGGCCTTCATCTGAGGGCAAGGGAAGTCAAGCAACACATTTTCACTTAGTGGAGAGAGCTCTTGCAATTGCCTCAGAGCCAAACCAACTGGTGGCTGCGAGCTGAGCTCCCCAGGCTGGTTCTTCAGCCTGCCTGGATGACACGTGCCAGGCTGCCGAGCAGGACACAGCATCTGCCCCCCTCAGATGGTTGGCTACATTCTTTGCTTGATATTAATATCAGTGAAAAGATAGTAACTTAACCACTGGTGTGAGAAGCTTGACTTCTAAGAGCACAGATGGCAGCGATCACCTCAGGGTAATTTTAACCAAAATTGTTCCGAGTCAGCAAAGCTTCGAGGTAAGAGAAAGGAAAAGACACAACATCTGTAAAGCCTCCTACCTGTTTCCCATCCAGGGTATACAGCTTTTTGACCACTCCTGTCTCCAGTTTTATAGCTTCGGTGATGTCGGTGAGAACTTGCTCAAAGGAATGGGCAGTCTTCTTGTTCAAGAGCACGCGGACCGCCTTGCGCGGCTTCACCCCGCTGCGGATGATGGTCACCAGCTTGGGCCGCACAAAGTCCTTGTTCTCCTTCGCCTGGGCGCTGTTGCTGCTGGCCAGAGACTGAGGGGCCTTCTGGTTGGCAGAGGTCTTCACGTTGACGGACCAGTTGGGGTTGACGTTCTTGGTGTATTCCACCTTCTTGAAGAAGTTGTCGGAGGAGCAGACGTAACTCTCCCCTTTGGAGAGAAATGAACACCAGCCTAGTTCTACAGTTCTTACTGTGAGACCGCTGAAAAACAGACACCGTACATCTCCCCCCACTATTAATGCAAGTCACAAATAATTGTTTTCAGTAGCACTTCCATGACAGCTTGTTATTAAAATGTTTTGTCTTATTTAGTTTTATATTCATGCTTATTTAAAACATGACTAATATCTCCCCAAAGCAAGCAATAGCTTGTATCAGCAGTCACACGAAACAGGGGTTAAAAAGGTTGAGTTATAAAGGTCTTTAAGTACCTGAGGATGCAACTAAGCTGTCTAAAAGCTCCTAAACACCAAACTCATTGAATCACCTAAATTATCGTGTAAATTTACCAGCTTCCTCTTCATCTTTACAGACCTAGCTACTACTTCAGCCCCTCAACCCCTGCTGAGAGGATATCAACATCCATCCATAAAGCACCTTTTGTGCCACGCCTCAAAAAATGAACATCCAGTACTGAACAGTCTCTACCAAAAGCAGGTTTGATAAATCTAGCAGGCATAACAAACATGCTTTGTTACAGTGTCAGTGGTTTATTTGAGGACAGACCCAGCGGCAGCTGAGATAAAACACTGTACCAAATGCCACAGCTTGCTTTTGCCTGGCTGGTACCAACCCAAAATATAGGAAACCCACATTTAGACATGGTAGAGATGGGTTACACAGTCTTCTTAGTCATTTACAAAAAAAGACCTTCCCCATCCCATCCAAAATTAGTTTCAAACTTTGTAATTTACAGGATCCTATCTAAGGCTTTAGGAGCACTTGAGAGGATTTGTAGGATTTTCTTCTGTGCCTGCAAATCTAGATGCCAGAAGAGTCATTATAGAATGAGACTGTAACCCAGTACCCCTAAGGGAATGTAGCTGTCTAGTCTGGAATGACTCAGGCTGCTGAGCACTTGAGGATGCACTGAAAAAAGTCAGTCATTGCTGGAGGAATTTTCATCATTAGAGAAAATTTTCATAGGAACTGAAGCTATAACATGGGTACTTGCAGAACCCTACAGAATTCCTTTTGGTGTTTTATTGGGTTCCTTTTGGTGTTTTATTATTACAGAATGAAGTTGTTGAAATATTATTATATGTTTGAAATATATTTATATATTTTACTAGCTTGAAGAAGAAAAAAAATCCTTTATATAAACAGACTGGCTGCACTTATCTGTTCCCTGCTGCAAGCTCCAGGGCCTGGACATCTTTGAACACCCACCCTTCCTCTGAGTCTGGCTTTCCACTACAGGATCTCTGGGATAATCTCTGGGATTTGACACCCAGTTGGTAAAGGTGTGAATATTGATTTCCAAACAGTCTATGATTTCCACAGAAATGTATGGTCCAGGCATTTAACACATCCAGTATAATGTTCATATAGAAGAGAGCTAACAAGGCTCATGTTGAACACTATCAGCTGGATATTTTAGCAACTAGTGTAGCCCAAATTAATGCAGTAATCCCACCAGGAAGTTGTTGGCTTGAAAGAATAATTAAAATCTGTATTTGAGGCATGCATGCTGTCAGCAACGCCCCCCCCAATAAACTGACCATGTAGTACCCATAGCTGAAGCTCCTTAATCCCTCCCATTTCTTGAATCTGACTCAATGGAAACATAAAGACAGCCCAGAGAGTACCACAGGTTATGAAGAACTCCCACTGGAGATATTGTTTTCCAGACGCACTGAATGCTTTAAATCTTCCTGATTAATAAGTGATAAGCTGTGGTTTATTCATCTGCTTCCCAGGCAACACCTGGTGTGGAGGGGGCCCACACTTCTCTCCAGTTTCACAACTGAGCATGAAGTGCAGCAAGAGGAGCTAGAAATGCCCACAGGGAATTAGCCCTTCTAAGAACCTGAGCCCCAAGCCCATAATCCCTGGGGGGCAGAACCTTTGTTAGAGTGCTCGACAGAACTGTAGCATTACCATCCTTTGAGAGAAGAGATTTCTTTGTTTAAAGGCAATATTAGGGGTAAATGATCTGAATACTACTCTCACCCCTGCCTCAGGCCTCCCTGTGGTAGCTCCCGACCTCACCTTCACCTCTGACTCCTGCCTGAAAAACAGCAGTACCAACAGCTGCCACTGAAGGGCTGCAAGGCTTGACTGTCATCTGTGTTTAATACTTTGAGAGAGAAGATGCCACAAAGAAAGAAATTATGTATTTGTACAGCGTTCTATAAACACTATTGGTATTGGAGCATATTTTCCATTAATAAGTTTGTTTCCACAAATGTGGCATTGGGTAGTTGTGCATATATGTACACACTGACCCTTCAAACTATGCTCACAGTCACAGGTAGAAAATGCCATTTGCCCTCTCTCACTTTGTTTCACTTAACCCAAACCATAGCAGATCTTTTATTGAATTCTAAACCTGGACAGAAATTTGCTTGAAGTGGCACTGCAGAGCAGAGTTCAGAGCAGCAGCTCTTATCAGCACCACTTCTCCAGGGAGCAGGAGCTTGCCTCTCCTTCTTCCCTGACCTGAAGATGGAACCTGAAACTTTAACTTAATTTTAAAATCACTTCAACTGATGGCTTCCCAAACTCAGTTTATGGCCCTCAAATAACAGCAAAGTTATTGTTGAAGTTCCTCAGTGTGGCACAGGCCTTTTGTCAGCCAGGAACACATGGCAGTCCACTTCCCACAGCTGAGCTTTACCCAGACCTTGCCATGAGCTGGCAGCAGGATTGGGCAAGCAGGGGCTGTGAAGTTTCCAGCTTTGAACACAGTTACTGTGGCCAGAAGGTCACAAAAGACAGAAATCTTATGGGGAAGAGTGCTACCATAGAAAAAGGAGTGGTTTCTTGGCTCCTCTGCTACATGTATAAGCTAAGCCCATAATGAGAAGTTGAGGTGTACAACTGCAGCAGTCAAAGAAATGTAACTGGGAGAAACAGCAGGGCTGCAGAAGTGCAGAGCAGAAGAGAAGGAAGGGGGAGGAAGTGGATGTGAGATTTTGTTGAAAGCAAAGGGAACAGCTCCAAGAAGTACACTGCTCCCTGAGCATAAAAAGCTGTGCACAAATATTTGCAGGAACACGTCTTTAGACAGCAAGCAGCTGTGTGCAGGTGCAGAAATGCAACCCTAAACCAGGAGAAGGTACAAGGAGCAGCCACTGGAGTCGTCACTGCCCAGCAAAACCCCAGAGGGGAGCCCCAAAGGGACAGGCTCACACACCAGGGCTGGGAACCTTCTGCAAGAGTGAGAAGCATCATCCTGACAGGATCCAACCTGCTGCTGAGCCCCACCATGCTGTGGGCATGGCAGAAGTGTCACGATTTCTATGTCATTAAACCAGACAAAGCATTTCTTTATTCCTTCTATCCTGCCCTTAGCAATAGATGGCTGACTGTAGACCTTTGAACCTAAGTCATGGTGAGCATATCTGCCATCTGAAGCCAGGATACGTGGCTTATATCACATGGAATTACTCTGGCTACATTACCCACCACTGGGCTACCAATTTGACAGAAGCACAAGGTGATTATTCAGCTCCTAAAGAGGGATGAGCTCAGCAAAGATAAAGTTTGCCTTAGAGAAGGTTTCTTAGAGAAACTCTAAGCTCAGGATGAGCATTAATCCTTCAACCCTCTTACAGCAGCTCCTTGTGACAATGCTAAAAATGACAGGCTGCACTTGGAGAAAAAGTGATCCTTTCTCAGCACACAGCAGCAAATTTTGAAGTATAATGAACAGCAGGCAGAAGCTGTGTGAGAGAAGTCAGGGAAGCTGCACTGGGGCCATTTTGGAAGTGTGAGTGCTAACAGTGACTCCAAAACAGTCTCCGTGGGCTGCAGTCGATTATTTTGGTTGTTAGTTCCGCTGTCACAAAGTTGAGACTGTGCTACTGTGCCCAGCTTGCCTGCTTCATGAGATTTACTAGGACTTCAATAGGTATTAAGAGGACTTAACACCTTGCAGAATTCATTACATATGGTGTTAAAGCAGGCCTTTAGTTTCAAATGCATGAGCTTCCTGCTACTCTAGCCATTGAAGAGGATTTTCCTCTGCCTCAAGACCTACTCCACCATGGCAAAAGGCACTCTGGAAGAGCTTCCTTCCTTTGGCTCTCCCATGAGAGAGAAGCACCTCTTGTTCTGTCAAAAATGTGAAGTAAGTGTGTGATTACCAAACTGTCTTCAGAAAACAGACATTGCCCTGAAGGAATCTATGGGATTGCACCAGTCCAAATGTGGCAGCTAGGATGAGCAAGCAAATAAAGAGAGCCCCAAGGATAAGCTTTGTTAAATAGGATGCAGTTAGCCAAGCTGTCAGGCCAACAGCCACGGGAAACAATGCCACAGGTTTTCCAAGACTGCAGCTCTGGACTAAGTGAACTCCAGTTTTCCAGGCAAACTGGACACGCACGCATTAGGTGGAGACCTCAGTGTAATTCCTGTAAGCCCCCAGTGCACACCAGGCTCTGCACAGCTCAGGGTGGAGCCCCTCCTCTGATTACTTTAAAACACTCCTGGACAAGATTTTGGAAAAAGATTCCCCAGGGCATGAGAGGATACAAAAAAACCTTGGAAACACTTTCTGGAATATCTCACGCAGCCCGAGAACATTTGCAATGAAATCTCCCCTAGCAAAACAAAACTGTATTGAGCTTTTTATAGTTTTTATTCTGAGGTAAGAACAAATCTCAGACAAGCAGCCCACAGTGGAAGTGGACTAAGCCCTGCCTAACAGCCTGAGCATACCAGGAGCTCGGAAGGGTTGAGTTCTACAGCTTCAACTAAATGCTGAGTCTCTCAAGTTCTAGTTTTAATCTATGTCTGCATTTCTGCCTTACTCACCATGTCTAATCCATGCTATATTTATATTGGGTGGGTTTATTTCCACATGTATTTCTGACCCTGACCATCCAGAGTAAAGGCCATTTAATTCATGTGAAATACTAGAAGCAGGTCCAAAGTCCACTTACAATAAAAGACTTGAAAGATGTGAGTACCTCCAAGCCACTGACCAGACCCTAAAAAAGGCTCAAGAATGGAGTGAAAGCACTTGGAGAAGAAAGCTCAGAGCTCTGACTTCCATCTTTATCTCATGCACAGACTTTGGACAGACAAGTCTGATTCTTTTCTGCATCTCAGCCCCTCACCAGTAGTAACACCCTCCTCCACCTTGACATGTTCAGACCATAATCCCCCTTGTGCAGGAGCTTGATGTTGTTACACATTTAAATAGTGCCTTGCACACAGGATGCCCTGTTTTGTGGGTGCCTCTGAATACATTGTGACAAGTGTCTCATCTTTACAAGTTGGGAATTTGGCTTCTGAGGAAGTGTTAGTCCCTCCCTCCAGAGGAAAGAAACCAGTCCCCACCAGTACTGAGGTTGACTCAGAGCTGCAATGGCTTCAGCAGCCAGGGAGCTGCCTTGTGCCTTTCTCTCACTCCCAATCTGCATCTCACCATCCCTTTCATTATGTCAAGAAACTGCTCATGGGGCCACATGGGAAAGAAGCAAAATTATGGATTGGACTAAAAAAAAAAATCTTTTGTCTCACAGAGAGTTCATTTGTGGGACAAGGGGGACAGCAAGTTGCAACCTGAGTTTGGAACACCTGAGCAGTGTTTCTTAAGCCATCTTTGCTGCCAAGTCAATACTTAACATCAGCTTCCACCTTTATCCAGCACTCCACTCCAAGAAAAGAAAACAGGCAATCAGAGCTGAGACAGGGAGAATCTGCCATCTTACCACAGTGGGTCTTAAAATGAACCAAGGAACAAGCCACCCCATCCAGATGTCAAAAGCAACTAGATTTTAGTAGAAACTTGGGTGACAATGCTCAAATATCAGCTTGAGCAAGGCTGGAAAAGACAGCACATGATTTTTTTCAGTATCTTTGATACTCAAGTTTTCTCATAGCCCAAGGCACAGAATTAACTGCTACAACAGTGGCTTACCAATAATCTATAAAGGCAGCTTCATATATTGACTTCCTAAAGCCTTGGCCACTGGAACCAGGTATCATAAGAAAGGGAATAAAGATCACCTGGTGCTCTTTCCCAAAAAATCCACTTATTGACTAACCCAAATGGGATAGGTAGCAGCACTCAGGCCCAACATCCACTCCTGACTCAGCCAAGAGAGTGCAGGAGTGGGAGATGCTGTCAGCAATTTACCTGCAGCCAGGCTGAGCTGTAAGAGTGCAGTAACAGGAGGCTGTGCTGCATCCAACCAACATACACATCAAGGAGGAACAGTCCTAATCAATGGCAGCATGTGCATTACTTGCAAATACATTAAAACTGAATGCTGAAAAGAGGGAGTCAAGATTAACATAATGACTACAGTGATGGAAGGGTGGAAAGGAGGGGGAAAAGTACCACAGAGGTGGATTTTCAGAGAAGGTCACTGTGAGACAGACATCTTTCTGGTACAAGAGGCAGTATGAAGAAAGCAGCCAGTGACAGATGAGGAAGAGCTCTGCAGGCAGCAACAAGCTCCTGTGTGGCAGAGTCCTTCTGGGCTTCCAAAATGTGAGGCATCAGAGTTCAGTACAGGAAAGGATCAAGCAGCACATCCTGACTGGCAGATAGGAGAGATGTGATGCAGAAGTAACAGAGACTTCACTTGTTCCACCTTTGCCTGGGAACTAAAGCATTCATCTAGAACCTTATGAGAACAACCCTGAGTGCCAGGGAAGACTACCAAGTGTGGTAGTCTCCTTTTGGAGACCAAAAGGGTTATTTCCAAGGCCCATTTAATTAGCAGCACACCAAGTGGGTTTGGTCCACCTGAAATGTCTGTCTCAAGGACGTTGGTGTTGTGCAATATCATTCTCTCACTCATCACCTGATGTGAAGTATCAGTAATTCACCAGCTTTGCCAATCAAACTACTGAGGTGAGCCTCTGTGATGACTTTGTTTCCTAGGTCCTACTGGAAATTACAATTTAAAAATGAGTCACATTATAGAAACTAGAACTGGTTTAATTACCCTCCATCTCCAATTAGAAAGCTCATTTATATGGCAAACAGTGTGCACATACTGTTCTGGTATGTCACACCATATTTCCAAGAACTAGGTACCTTCTTACCTGCAGCAAAATGCAGTGTAAAGCAGGTAAAACAACTAAAGGTTTCTTAACTTCACTGACAAAAAGGAGGAGGAATATCAAAAGAGAATAAAGAGCTGCATTTTCTCCTGTGGAATTATTCCTGAAGGTTTACATAAAACCTAGAACAAGCAGGACTGAGAGCTGTCATTAGAGAAAGGCTGTGGCCACATTCAGAGGTCGGAATGAAACATGGCAGAATCTCTAAAATTAAGGGAGGCCACACCTCCATTTGACAGCTGTAACTGGGCTGAGAATAACTCCACTAGGACTGCGTCATCTCTCTGAAAAGCAGCAATTTCTTCCCAGCAAAACTCCTCTGTGGAACCCAAAATTTATTCCGTGTGCTTGTCCCCACAAAGTATTGTGGAGAAATGAGTATCCCACTTGGCAGATAAGGAATTCTAGGGAGAGATGCTTTAGTCAAGGTCACACAATGACTCGCTGCTGAGGCTGCCCCTGCAGCTCGGTGCCTCACACACTCACAGCCATTGTCTTTCAGTGAAGGCAAAATTCTTGTGGCTTTTCTGGAGTCACCAAATCAGCCAGCTCCTCTACTGGGAGAAAAATATCAAGGAAGAGGGGAGAACAACTCCCTCCTTGCAAAAGAGTAATGGGGATATTCCAGGTTCAAACAAAGAACGGAGCAGCTGAATTGCTCAAGGAAGAGAAAGGCAGGGGGGCTGTGGCTGTCCTCTGTGCACCCCACTTTGGCTGCACAAAGGTTGCTGTACCTTGGGCAAGGAGGCAGGACTGACCACGTAGCAGTTCCATCCTGGGGTTCCTCCTGACCCTCCCCGAGGAAGGCAGCAGGGAGGCAAGCTGGCCCCAGGCCACCCCTCTGGGCACAAGGACTGATGTTTGTCTCATCCTTCATCCCCTGGTCCAAGTGACACTGGGAGGAAGAGGCAGACTGACACCTTCTCTAGATACAGGGATACACTCAGAGCTGCCACACACGGGCTGCCTCTCCCCCAGACCTACCCCAGCAACCCCTCCACGCAGTCTCTGAGAAACACTCCCCAAACACAGCCCTTCAGCCACCCCCACGGGAACATCTCAATACCCATCCCCTCCTTACAGATCCTGCATGAACCGTATTCAGCTGCAGCACTTGAACTCCCCACGCCCTCTGCACACCCTCTGCTATGCAGGAACCCCCCAGCACTCCCTGTCACACTGCCCAGCACACCTCTACATGCCCAGCACACCTCCACATGCCCAGCACACCTCCACATGCCCAGCACACCTCCACTGCCCAGCACTCCCTGTCATACTGCCCAGCACACCTCCACATGCCCAGCACACCTCCACACACACCCTGAGCACAGACACTGACACACACCCTCTGCATGAACCTCCCCAAGGAGTCCCAACACCCCCTCTGTCATCAGCCCTCCGTAGGGCTTCCTCCACACACACGTATAAACCCCCAAATTTCGCCAAGTGCAACCCACCCAAAACACCCTTCTCCACAGACACGCTTTGTTCATCAGCTCCCACTTCCAAACACTGCCTGAGCTCCCAACACACCCCTAAAACCCCATCTCCCCCACACGCACCCCCAACACTCCACTCCCCGCACACTCCGGTCCCTGCC